TTTTTTTTTTCCACTTACGCCTCGCCTCGAATCGGCTTGATTTCCACACGTTCGAGGCGGTGTCGGTCCATGCGGACCGACGACCTGGCATTCGTTCGGCCGGCGTCGGTCCCGCGGGACCGACGCTTGCAATATACAAAATACTATAATTTATACAACCATAAATAAAAACTACACTCCGTCTCGAACGTGTTAACCGGTTGGAAAAATGGCCGCGGTATTTTCTGTCTGTCGAGGAGACACGGACCGAAAGGAGGAGAACAAACGTTCTCTCGTGAAACGTACGTGCTTAAAAGTGTCCAAATACCTTTCTTTCCTCTATGTACACGGTGTCCCGCGACTCGTAGCGATCCTACTGTGCTGACGAACGTGTCGAAGAGAAAAAGAATAGAATTTTGTTTTCGATCGAAGATTCTCGTTTTCGAGGAAATCCAGTTTTGAAGGTTTATCAAGTGTACATGAATAAGTGAAGAGTGTAGAATACTTTCTCGTTTCCTCGTTTGGGGGCGTCGTTTTCTCGAGGAAAGTCAACTTTGATTTGAGTATGTTTCGTTAAAAATTACTTCGAGCACTGCACACGTACTTGAATTTTCAAACTCGATTCTATTCGAAAACGAAGCTCTAACGAAAGAATTTTATTCCTTCTTTTCGATAGATTTTTACACGTACAGCTCAGTCGGTTGATCACGAATCGTGGATCACCCTGTATACACGTATATAAATATAGAAAGATAAATCCGGGATAGTTGGACCAGGGAAAGAGATCGACCAATGTTAATATCTTAAAATGAATAAAACAACAGGGGGTCTTCTCTGAATCTCGTTGAAACAAAACAAACGAAACATTCTGCAATTGTGGAACTCACATCTGACAAGTGTCACGTGTTCAACACTTGAAGCTATTTCGTTGGAAATTTTGCCTGAAACGCCGCAATATTTACGAATACAATACAAAAAAAAAAAAAAAGATTGAAGAAACAACGATCGCGTGATGTTGTTCTAAAAAGAATCTAACCTAAACCATCCCGGATTCACTTGAACAATTTTACTAATAATTTTAGCGAATAATTTAAACTAAATGATTAATTTAGTTTAAACTGAATAATTTAAGCTAAATAATTGAACTTATAAGGTCTTTGTTAAAAGAAAAATTACTAAATAATTATTGGATCTTGATAAATAGAAACCTAAACCTAACCTAAACTATCCTCACTCGAATAATTTTACTAATAATTTTAGCGAAGAATTTAAACTAAATAATTGAACT